ATTCTTGAAATGTATAATTTAATATTTTTACGATTAAAGATTGATTATTAATTATTGATTATTAATTTTATTTATATTTATATTTTTATTAATTTTATTTGTTCATTTTATTTTATTTTAATAAAATTTAAACGTTTAAATTTTATTATACAATTATATAATTAAATAATAAATAACCATTATATAATGCAATAAATTATTAAGAAATAATTATTATAATTGGATTATATAATAAAATTTGGATGTCTAAATTTGATCAAATATTTCGTTCACTAAAAAACATATCTTTTGCCAAGAAATTATTGGAAATACCTTATGGAATATTCTCGTTATTTTGAGATCGTGTTCAAATCTCAATTCCCTCATATTTTTGAAACATATAAAGAACAGAAAAAGAATGTTATTGTAAAACATCAAATGGATATTGTTTTCCTAGCTTTCTTCAACAACTCAAGTAGAGACTTATTACTCTTTATATAATCCAATTCCTGTTATAAAAATATAACATTCATAGAATAAAACTCTCATAGATGTAGAAGTGAGAGCAAAAAATAGAATGTATTCATTATATTAATATCTTATCATGTATCACAGTCTGGAATTACAATAAAAGGACGTGAATAATTTTTAAATGTTGCATCTCTTGCTTCTTCAATAATTTGAAGATTTGATCAAGTAGAAATACATTAGTATCTACAACAATATATATAGTAGACTCTTCTTATGTAACTCTGCTCTATTATGATGTATTAATTCTAAAATATTTCCCGATATACAATTTGTCTCAATATGATTCAGGTTTCTCCCTAATTGTGTTCTAACAACTTCAACCTATATTAAATATATTAAATGAAAAATTATATTGTTTTCACTATTATTGTATAGATAAGATATATACATAAAACACACAATAGATTCCTAATTAATATAAATTTTAAAAAATGAGTAAAAAATATAAAATATTTGAGATTACTAAAACACACAGTTAAAATAAGATAATTCTCTATGATACATAAATACACAAATTAATTAATGTTTTAATTATATTGATAATACCTCTTGTGCAATGGCTTCATCATTCATTGGTTCCCAATCCATGTGTTGCGTGCGTGCGCGTCTCGTGTCGAGCGCGTGTGTCAACGCACCTTCTTTATAATTTAATTAATTTATAAATTAGTACAGTTATAATTTTTAATAAATTTATAAATTAATTTATACATTAATAAATTTATAAATTAATAATTTAATATGAGATATATAAATATGTATATCACGAAAATATAAAATCTATGGCACACAGCATATTTTTCTTGCTAGCTATAATGCGTTATAAAAAATGTAAATATATATGTATGTCTAGGAATTGCAAAATATATATGTATGTCTAACAATTAGAATTAATTAATTCTAGCATGAAAAATGCATAGGATGCCTAAAAAATAACTTTACAAAATTATACACAATACATTATAAGGTTTTTTTAATGAAAAAATACATTTTGATTTATGAAATTAAGTGAACAGCAAAGATACAATAATATAAAGTTTTTGTTCTAAATTTATATAAATTATAAAGTACTCTAAAAATATGTATATAAAAAAATAGTACAACTTAGTGTTAAAGTTTGTTCGGATTGGCTTATAATACTAAAAGTAATTTCATATAAAATATTCATATAGATACATATGTTATATATATCCATATTATCTTACATTAACAATAGTAGGCAATATTGGGCATCTTAAATATATCCTTATATACATGATCATGTTCCTAGATATATCATTTATTTAAAAGACATGGATGTTAAAAATGCTCTTCACTTTGACTCACAATCAAATAAATCATAGATGATTTATTTGTATTATATTTATTTATATTATATTTATATTATATTATATTTATATATTTATAACTTTATGCATTAAAAAAATTTTTACATTAAACTTATATGCATATAATACCTGAATATAATATAAATAAATATTTCCATCATTTCTTTCTTAGTACAGACATGTATAAGACTGATTCCATTCTTTTATATATTAATGTTCTATAAATATTCTTCCCAAAAAATTATTTTTCATAAAAAATACGAAAAATGCGAGAATGTTATTTACATGATAACAAATTATCATATTTATATCAATGCTATAAAATACTTCTTCAAAATTATCCTAACAATCGTTTCAATCAGGAAGAGTGATAGTTCGCAAAGAGTCTTCGGGAAAAGTTGCTATTTCCGCGACAGTGCTGAAATTAAAGGGAACTGCTATTCCACCATCAAGAACTAAACCTCCATCAAAACACTCTGATCTTATGGTGATCCTTTTACAAAAACCACGAGGATATATGCGCTTTGGAACGGACACTGCATCAGTCATTATCATATCTCTTATCGAATAACATAGTATGGAATCCTCTGTAAATATTTTTATACAATGAATCCTTTAGAATTTTGTTATATAATCTCGTAAGTCGAACATTTTTATAAAATAATAATAATAATAATAATAATAATAATAATTACCGCACAATTATCTTTTGTAACATCCTTTCTTCCTTCTTTCACTTTATTTTAAACTCTTTGTCTTCTTTATTTCCTCCTTTCTTTCTTTAAAACATTAACTAAAAATAAAATATATAACACAAAGTATCAATTTTTTATAATATATAAAGTATTAATTAAATATCAAAAACACAAGTTCTATTAGAAACGTTATCTGAACTTATCTGATGAAGTAATCTTGAACACGTCCAAGGAGAAAAGAGAAACCTTTACCTTGATTTTTAACATAATCTTTCACTTAACCCGGCTGTTACTAATAACCTTCGATTTACATAACTGTCAAAACGCGCGATCTTCGCTGCGACGACAGTTGCTCACGAAGTAAGCCCAACGAAAGAACCAATCAGCATCGCGGAAAAGCGACAACAATACTTTCGAGATATGCGAGAATCGATGTCATGCACTTTTTCAGATAGGACTAGATCGTCGCGCGCGCTTCGCGCGCGCCAATGCGATTATCTTATTTCGATATTTTACAGCATATAATTTGTATATTATTGCAAAACTAAAACTTATCTATTTTAATATATAATTCCTACCTCTTCCAATACCTCTCTTCTTTTTCTTTCTCATTTACTTTCTTCTCCTCTTTTACTCTTTCTCCATTTTTTTATACATTCTATTGTATATTTTCTTTTTCGATTTTCTTGCTTTCTCCTCATACTTGATCTCCATTTTCAATGCTCTCATTTTTATTTCTTTCATTTTCGTCTCTTCCATTATTATGTAATTTGGCGTTCTTCTGTCCAATCTTCTGTCTAATCTCCATTTCACATATTTCCTCTTTATTTTGTCTAGTTTTTCTTCCATCTTCCATATCCAGATCTCTGCTCCACATAATATGCTATGCTTGCTATTAAGGTTTCAAACATCTTCATTCATCTTCTCCTGTTTAAAATCCTGTTTAAATAACCTTTCTCCTACGCTCTATGTCATCTTTATTGCTATCGTTGCCTTTCTCATCTTCTCTATTATGTGTTTCTATGATCCTCCATTTTTTTACATATTTTATTTTTTTTTTACAGCATATAATTTGTATATTATTGCAAAACTGAAATTTTATATTTTGATCTATGTATTATTATATATATACATGAGCAAATAAATATTTTTATTAATATTATGTTTTACATCTGTTGATACTCACTGTATCTGCTTTACTTTAAAACGTTAATTAAATTTTATTCCTCTATTTGTTAAATTATCATCTTAAATATAATTTTTATATATTGTAAATAAATTATCATACTTATGTATTTATTTATAATTTTATATTATTTATATCATGTAATATCTAAACATATTATATTTTATCAATATTATATTTATTTATAATATAAACTATTACTTATATATATATATCATTATAAATATTCTTATATATTATAATTTAAATTACTTTATATATAAAATTTTAATTTTTTTTATAAAAAATTAATTTTTTTAACATTCTGATTTTAATTGTATATAACATGCACATATAAAGTTTGTATCATTATATTCTTTTTTTTCTATTAATTTTACAAATACTACAATATCATGTGTTATAAATATTTAATTAAATAATATTTAATATAATTTTAAATTAATTTATGTTTAATTTTAAAATACTTTTGTTATTTTCTTTTAGATATTTTTATATTAAATATTGAATTCTAACTTATTGTTTCAATAATTTTTCTTGTCATATATGTACAAAATAAATTATTTTCTATTATTTTATTTGACAATTACTTTTGTAAAAGTAATTCGACAATTACTATTGTAAAAATGCATCCTCAGAGTTATGCTTGAAGAAATATGGAATAATCCATTTTCAAAAAGCATTTTTCATCACAGAATGCACTTTCGAAGAAATAAAAATATATAAAACATATTATATTATAATATATTAAAATTTATATCTGTTTGTAATGATAAATATATCATTACAATGTTTGTAATTGTAAATATATAACATATAATATAAAATTAAAAAATTGTAAATATGTATATATAATATAAAATTTACTATTATAATTTATTTAAAGTAATTATAATTTACACTGTAAAATACCAGCATTCTTATTGAAATATTTCTGTATATACATAATTTTTAACCAATCTACTTTGTTTTTCTTGTCCTAAATAAATTTCTAATGATTCCCAAGATCTAACTCGTGAAAATGCAACATAAAGTTGTCCATGACTAAAAACATCTTTTCTTAAATCGATTGCAATTTTATCAAATGTTTGTCCTTGTGATTTATTTATGGTCATAGCAAAAGCTAATTTAATTGGAAATTGTCTTCTTTTAAATACAAATGGGTAAACATCTTCACAGTATAAAGTTATACGATTTAAAAAGATAATTTCTCCTCTTTTATCACCAGTCAGAATTTCACATTTTAACAAATTATTTCCTAATTCTAAAATTAATAATCTTGTTCCATTACACAAACCTTCGCTGATATTCAGATTTCTAATCAACATGATAATTGTATATTTTCTTAATCGGAGTTCATAAGGTGGAAGATTTGTTGGATTTAAAGTATTTAAATATTCTGTTAAAATAGCTTCATTAATATCATTATTATCATTAGTAGTTTCAGTAGTATCTATACTTGTGTATACTCTTTCTGTTGATTCATCAAGTAAATTTACAACTTGTTTGTTTAATTCATCCACATCAACATTTCTTGCAGAAAGTATAACACGTTTTGCTGCAAGTCTATACTGATTGTGTTTGATTATTTCTTCGTATGTATCTTTCGTTATATTTGCATTTAAATTTGCTACACATCTTAATGGAATTTCAATATTATTAGACTGATCATTTAGAGAACCATTACCCAAATCTAATAAAAATTGAGCAAATTCCTGTTCATGTGGTAAAATACGCATATTTTCTGTTAATGAAAAAATTTTGAAATATTGCCATAATGAACTGAATTTAATTGATAAATTTACAGTTTCAGAACGTGTGGCATTTTGTTTTACTGGCAATAATTGTCTGAAATCTCCACCAAAAATAACAATTTTTCCTCCAAATGGTATATCATTATGCATTAAATCTTGTAAGAGACAATTCATTACTTCAAGAGCATATCGCGGTGCCATTGGTGCTTCATCCCAAATAAAAACATCTGTTTTTTTTAAATAATCAGCTTCTTTGGATTGAACTTTTATATTCGATGTTGAATCATTAAAAAGAGGTACGGGCAAACCTAAAGTTTTATGTGCTGTTCTTCCATTTGGTAGTAATGTTGCAGCGATACCAGTGAAAGCCATTGTATTAACAACTTTGCCTTGAGATTTGAGTAAATAGTATAATGTTGTGTAAACAAAAGTTTTACCTGAACCTCCTGGACCGTCAATGTATAAGCATTTTTTTTGTTGACTGTTAGTTTTTGTTAAAAGAGTTAAAACATAATCAACAACATTTTTTTGACCATAATTTAACTGGCTATACTGTTGCTGACCACATAAAGCTTCTCTTTGCAATTGTTCTGCATCTTCTTCTTCATATTTTATCTTTATTTGTTCCATTTCTGGAAATTGCTTAAGTTTCCAACTTTTTTGCGAAGTAATTGATTGATTTGAGCATAAGCTTTTTTTATTCCAATGACTCGTCCAAATCGTCGTATGTAATCTTCGGACATTGCAACTTGAAATTCATTCCATAATTCTTTTGGATGCAATGGTTGGCAATGCATTAGTATTCGAACAAAAAGATACCTAAGTTGTCTTGGCATCATCCATATAGAAGCTTTGCTAATTGCACGTTTCCATTCATCATCATCTTCAATTAAACCCAAAGCCAAACATGCAGAAGTAAATGTTTGATGTAATACACCATTAACTGTTTTTAAAGCATTATAACTTGTTGCTCCTTTAATATTCAATAAAAGAATACGTAAATGGAATAATTCAATTTCAGTTGGACTAACTGAGTACATTCGTCCAATACAATTAAATTTACTCTGACGTTTTTCCCAACGACTAATTTGTTTTCCATCAAGAATTACTTTCTTGAACACGTAATATAAAGGTATATCTGTATATACATATTGGTGTGCATCAACATCTCGTTTATTTAATTCAAAATAATCCATTAACATTGTTATACGTTCTAAAGCAGATTGTAAATCTTGTTCATTTAAATGATCAGAGATAATTACATTTTGTTCACTTGGCAAATGTACAGGTAAACGAATGATGGCATGACTTTTTTCTTGCAATATTTTATTTACAATACGCCAATAAGCTTCAACTGGTCCTACATAACGTGCTTCAATAAAATCTTTGATTTCGTCATGAACAATTTCCATATTATTCACATCTTCTTCTATAACTACAGATGCTGCATCGTGACCTTTGTAAATATATTTATATAAATACTTTACTGACTTGATACTTGAAACAACTTCAACATTAATATGACAATTAAAAATTGTTGATAATATTGGACAGTAAGGAACAACAAATCGATTATCTACTACAAATCCTCCAGGTTTCTCATACAAAATGCTAGTGTCTCTTCGACGGTATTGTGGATAACCATTTTCATCCATAGTTGTTTCCTCGTGAAAAGATTTTGGAAAATGCTTTGAACATTTTCCATTTACCATACACCAATTACCACATGGTCCATGAATCATATTTTTCATGACAATTTCATGCAAATTTTGATCAATAGCAGGATCCGGAATTTCAGCAGAAATATACTTATCAACGGTTTCCGAATTAATAATTTTGCATTGTTGTTTTAAAGTTACTAATATATGCACATGCGGCAAACCACGTTTCTGAAATTCGATTACATAAACGAATGCTTTTACTTCACCAAAAAATTTTTGTCGAACAATCAAATCTATCAAATAATTTTTTTTTTATATCAAATACTCTAGCACAAATATCAGGTCTATCAGCAGGTTGTTGATTTGAAAGTAAATTTTCTTTAATTTCGAGCCAATTTGGATTACAAGTCATTGTAATAAAAACATCTGGTTTACCATATTTACGAACAATAGCCATCGCATCTTGATAATTTTGCATCATATTTCGAGGTGAACCAATAAATGTTGATGGAAGTATCATTATTCGTCCAACACGAGCATTAGCATCAGTCGCTTTTTTTTCTAAATAATCGATTAGTCCCTGATGCTTTTCCACTCTCAACTGTTTTTGATTTTCTTTACACCAGTTAATTCTGTCTTTTTCTATTTTTACATAATTGTCAACAAGCCATTGTTGAAATAATCGTTTACCCATTAAAAAAATATTAGTATTGTCACGAATAGCTATTCGATATTGAATGTACATAGATCTAGTTACACGTTTTCCATTAATTTGTTTAATATTATCGTGCCAACCTGGCGTACCATGTGGATAATACATTGGATAAATCCAAGGTTCAACGTTTGGATCCATTGTACTAACGTATTTTAAAGTTTTATCACGTTTGTTTCTAATTGTAACATAACAATCAGGAATATCTCCATCTGCAGTAGTTGAAAAAATTGCAGCAACTTCGTTAGTTCTTTGAATATTATATCTTCCGCGATCAATACCTGTTTTCTTATTTAAGAATGCCATTTTTAAATTAGGCACATTTAAACCTGAATTTTCTTGATTACAAACTTCTTCATGCATCATTTGATATGACTGAGCAAACATATTATTGCTGCGAATAATACCATCTAATGTATGTAATAACTCTTCATCAAGATTTGTATTTACATTTAAACGACATTCTGTAGCTTCGTTAGCGTCAAGAATGAAAAGCTGTCAATAACTTGATTGTTCTTGTGCAGCAGGATATAATGCAGTATTAATTTGATAATAAATTTGACCTTGAATTTTGAAGCAATAAGGACTTCGTCTTTGTGCATTAAAATTAACCAAGTTAGCATTAAAAGAGACAAAAGAAAATGCACTATTATAACTTCGCAGATTTTTAAAGAACTCTTTAGATTTTTTATGATTTCCAAAAAATAACTGTTGTAGTTCATCAGGAAATGGTGATAGAGATTCCAATATAACTTTTCCATGACTACAACAATCATTGAATGAATTACATTTATTATAAACTTTTTCAGCGTGAAAATGTTTTGCTTTACAATATTTGCACTCTACTTCCATTTTTCCTATGTAATGTTGATTTATATTATGATAATTTATGTTTTGAAATCCTTTATAATTGGCTCGACAATTTGCATTTTTCTTTTATCTGTGATATTTTGTAATTGTATATTATCAATTTCGGAAAAATTATCATTTATATTTACTGAAATTAATTGACTTGAATCTGTAGTATTTTCAACACTTGTAAGTGTACTTTGTTCATGGTTGACAGTTTTTTTAATTATATTAACATTATCGTTATCAAGTTTTGAATTTGAAGTTATCAAAGAACTATTGCTCGATAACTTTGATATGCAGTTGTTAATTGTAGTAACAGAATTGCTCAAAGTCGACGTTGTAATAACACATTTTATTACTGATGAAGCAAGATAAATATTGTTTGTGACCAAAGGATTTTGCGATTTAGACACTGCACCCTGGTAACATTTCCATTGCAGTTCTGCTGTAAAATTGTACGAAAAGTCGTGCATGAACTTTCGGACAGATCATGCGTCTTCTATTTCCAACTTTGACTAGTTTTCTGTTGACAAAAACTTACGCTCGTCATAGTGTAACGGAATTGCAAACGATATGTGGCAGCTTTTACTGCTAATAATTTGTAGTTATATGCATTTACATATAGCAGAATACTACAAGAAATGCAGTAGATGCTTGCGCAAGTCGCAGTGCAACATAATCGCGCCAGATTTGTGGCTGCATCTATTGCTAATAATTTTGCAGAAATGCGCATTTATATACAACATAATTCAACAAGAATTACGGCAGATGCTTGCGTAAAAAATAGAGCAGTAATGCAAAAGATTTTGGCAGAATATACTGTGTAGTAAAATTACACAAATAAAATGCATTAATTATGCAGCAAAATTATAATAATCACTTTAAATTCTTTTAATTATAATTCCACTGTTTTAAAAATTTGATTTCCACGGTTTTAGATAATCCAATGAAAATCAAGTTCAAAATAATGGAATTTTTATCAAAACAATATAATAAAAAGTGTTTACGGCAATTTTACTGCATAATTTATAATTTTATTTGTGCAATAATGCTATCACTGCATAAATATTAATTTAACATTTTTATAAATTTTATTATTTATACTCAGTTAGAGTTTTTTGTAGGATATATAATGAATTTTTATTTATTTTTTAATACAAAACTATTTAATTTCTAATGTTAATGAATTTAAAATATTTAAGAAAAAATAATTTAAAAACCATTCAATAAAAGTTTTTAAACAGTTTCGGAAGTTTAAAAAATCATGAACAACCCTTCGCATAAGTGTATTATTGAAATCTTTTGCAAAACTCAAAATTATATAAAATGAATACATACAATTATAAATATTTATCAATTATTACTTTATTAATTATTATAAATAATTTTGTTCTTGGTAACATATCACAAATGTTGCACTTATATAAAGTATTTTAACTTATATATATTTATTTAGAATAAATAAATGTAATTTTTACTGCAGTTATTTAAAGCCTTTCATTGCTTATAAAATGTTTGTATCTTTTGCAGTGTTTTCTTATAAACTATTAAAAAATGGAAACAAAATATTTGCATCTGTGAATTTAAATACAGAACTGTTTTTTGTTAAGAGAACAAAATATTTTAAACAAAACTAGAACTTGTAATATATATATATATATTATAATTATAATTTTAAATTTATAATTATTAAACATAACTTTTGGTAACTTAAAGGCATTCAAAACAAAAAAGATATTGAGAATAAAAAATATTTTTCTAACCATTTTCTAACTACTCTGCCCGGGCCCTAAAACATCAACTTACTGGAATAAGAAAACGTTTTCTATTTGAAACACTAAATATTTTAAACAAAACTAGAACTTGTAATATATATAAATGTATAATATATATATATATATATATATATATATATATATGTATGTAGTGTATATATATTATTATAATTATTAAACATAACTTTTGGTAATTTAAAGGCATTCAAAACAAAAAAGGTATTGAGAACAAAAAATATTTTTCTAACTGTTTTCTAACTATACACTCTGCCCGGGCCCTAAAACATCAACTTACTGGAATGAGAAAACGTTTTCTATTCGAAACATTAAATATTTTAAACAAAAGTAAAGCTCTTATAATATGCAGGAATTTATATCATGAAATCTTTATATCTATATATAGATATTTTCATCTTTATACCTATAAGTAAAAATTTAAATTGTTTTTGTCAATCTTCATTAATCTTCGATCATTTTAATTACTGTATAAATTATTCATATCTTGTAAATGATTTCGTCGGCCATTACGTTCTCGGTTTTCTCTTCGAACTCGATCTCGATGTCTTTGCTTAGCAACTCTTAATGCAGCCTGCATAAGTTGATTAAAACTTTCTATTGAAGTTTTTTCAAACTTATTAATTACTTCTAAAACGTAACAAATACTTATATAATATTTATTAAAACATTAAAAAATTGTATTTTGTAATCTTATTTTATTTTACTGTATCAAAACTCAACATTGTTAAATTTAAAATATTTACGAAAAAATAGTTTTAAAAAAATAGTTATTGTTTATGGAATGTTTTCATAAAAAAAGTATTTTATGTACATGTCTTAAAAAGCTACAAATATATGTATTTCTCGAAATTTTAGAACTTTAAAAAATATTCTAATTCCATTAAATCAATCTATTATGTTTTGAAAAAAAAACGTTGTCAGCTTCTAGTGTATGTTATATCTAAATTGATATTGGTAATTTGTTTAAAAACTAATTAATAATAAAATGCTCGAAAGTTTAAAAAAAAATCACAAATCCTTCGCACGAGGGTTATATATATCATTTTGAAAGGGTCTTTTTCAAAACTCAAAATTATATAATTATATGAAATGAAAATCTATTTTGAAGGAATGCTGATGTTAACGTTTGCAAAATTTTAAGATAGGTCATTGATGAAATATACAGAAATTGTTGAGGAAAAGGATTTATTAAAGCGGAAGAGAAAAATAGATCTAAAGTTTTCCGCTATACCATACAGCAACTCAACAATTGTAATATCAATTACCAATATCAGGAATAACATACACTAGAAGCTGACACGTTTTTTTCGAGACATAATAGATTGATTTAATTAAATTAGAATAACTCTTTAGAGTTCTAAAATTTCGAGAAATACATATATTTGTAGCTTTTCAAGACATGTACTTTTTTTTTAAACGTTCTATAAACAATAACATTTTTTCAATTTTTCTGAATAAAATTTGTTGAGTTTTAAAAATCATTATTTAAGAATATGATTCGCAAATAAGAATACTTACGGAACATCATTTTACTCAGCCGTGTGTCATATAATGTCTTGTGTGATGCAGGTTCATTTTCCGCATTTTCCGGTTCTTCATCATTACTTTCCTTATTATTTTTTTTAGCCCACTTAAATTGGCATGCAAGTTCATCTGAGATAGAATATCTAAGGTACTGTCTCAAAGCAACTTTTGCATTAGGATTTCCCCACCAAATAAAATAATTTCTCTGTAAAATATTTTAAAGAGTCAGTAGTGTTATATTATGCAAGTTATTATTAAAGTAGGAATTTATTAATTATCCATAAAAGATATTAAAAATATGACAAAACTTTTCGAATCTGAAAAATTTTAATTTTGTGATAAATAATTGTGTAATAGTTAAAGAATTTTAAAAATATTGTATTTTGTATTATCGAAAATAGCAAAACCATTTTAATATTCCGAAAAGCAAAATGCAAATTTAAAAGTATATTTATATTTAATATTTTTATATAATCAAAATATGTATAAGTAAAACATGTTGTTCCACTTACTAGTTCTCCCTGCTTTTCCTTATTTTCCTCGAACTCTTCAAATTCTTGCATATTTTTTAATGGAAAACCTTCTGGAAGCGAATATACTGGGTAAGCTCCATCGTTATTATTTGCGTTTTTGTTTCTAAAAATAATTTAGCTCAGTTTATACTCAAAATTAATATTTAAGAGGATATGAATAAATCTTGATGGATTCTACTTTACATAAACCTAAAAATCGTTTCTATTATCCATTCAAATTATCTTCTTTTTATTGTACAATTTCTTTTATCTTTTAAGATAAATTTTGATAAAAATTTATAGATTTTTAGAATAGAAAATTACGTTCATGCATACTTACACTTGTAAATTATCTAATTTTGTATTGAAGTAGGTTTTCAGTTCATCTATTTTTTTATCAAAATAGTTTTGCATATTGTTAATTTTGTTCGAAATATTTTGTTCCTGAGTTTCGCAAAAC